GACGTCGGCGCCGACAAAATTTATTATTACTGCTAAAATATACTAAGGTTCGTCTCTCGGAGCAGATCTGCGCAGATATTATTATTACTGACGAATTATTGAAATCAACAAAAAAGTTTTAAACTTAAAAAATGTTTTAAGTAACCTTTTAACTTTATTATAAATTCAGTGATTAGTAACAAAAAGAGTTTTCAAAGATTCTTACAGTAATAAAAATATATAATAAAATATATAGGCTGGCGCCTATTCGGTGATTTCTTGACATTCAATTTCATTGAGAATCGCACCTTCTTCAAGAATGTAATCAGTCTTGTCAATTGTGTCCATCAGCACGCTATTGGTATACAAGAATACTAGCTTTTCAACTCTCTCATTCGTAAGACGATTTCTTAGTCGCGAGTGAATAAATCGAAAGGTCGACCAAGCTCTTTCTGCTGTAGCCTATGAGCAATTTCATAAAGAGCAGGATATTTATTGCGATTATTTCATAAAGAGCAGGATATTTATATTCTGTGTTGCCTCTCAGGCAGCACAGAAATTTCTCCTATATAAGCAATCAATTCATCTTCAGCAAAGGCAGCAATTTCAGGTTTGATCTTTTTGGCGAATTCAACTGTAGCAGTGATAAAATCGGTTTTATCTTCATTCAAATATAAACCTTCTGCGGCATTTTTGGGCGTTAATATGAAAGCAATTCCAATACATGGTGTAAAGAGAAAATCGAGGCGAGATTGTACTTTTTGTTGTATGTCTTTATCGTCCATATATGAATGGTATATTTGACCAAAGTAATCATACACGAGAGACAATGGAGCTGTATCACTTTCTAGCTTTCCAATCACATTGGAAGAAAATTCAATGCTTTTGACAAGCTTAGAGAGACAGTCCCAAAATGGGTTAGATTTTATCAACGCCATAACAGCAGCAGATGTATTCTTTGGTTGAATTTCCTTCAGTAATAGACTTTCTTCGTCTACCAACTTAATGAGAACGTATTTTGATAGCTGGAGACTGCTCATTGATTTATAATAACTAAACCATTGTGTAGATACAGGCATAGACAATAAAAGAGAAATATTTGCTGCAATTCATCTTTCATCAAACTTTGCTTTTACGATGTGATGATTTTTCACATTTTTGATGATTTTCTCTGCATCTTTGACTGTTTTTGGGGCCCCAATTGTAGAAACTATGTCCTTCACAAGCAAGTTGACGCCATGAGCTCCGCATCCGCTAGCCGAGATGTGTGGATATTTCTCCTCGATGATCCTCCACGCTGATTTCATTACAGGAGCGTTGTCGCTTGTGAAACTTGTAAATTTTTGTGAGCCAATCTTCTCAATAACTTGTAAGATTGCTGCAGCAACTGCAGATGAATTTTGAATGATTCCGGATGTATTTATCGAGGTAGATAATACCTAAAAGTAGATAATACCTACTTTTTACTAGTTTTTCAAAATGTCTGAAATTATTTTATTAAATATTGTCTAAAATTAAATTTAAAAAAATAATTAATTTCACGCATTTGATTTAGATAATTAAATTATCTGAATCAAATGTCTGAAGTAATTTTTTTATCATAATTTAAATTTTTCGTATCCTTTAAACTGTCTTCGCAGACGTCGGCGCCGACGTCTGCGTAGATATGCGCATATTATGTCTGTGCAGATCTGCGCAGATGCATTTGCCGAACCCTAGTTTTTATGATACCTGTTTGTATATTATTATTAAAAATATCAGTAGTTATAATATTATCTATAAGAGTTGCTGAGTTAATTGTTACTCTAGTGGGTCGAATTGTTAAAGTAACTGACCCTGTTTCAAAAATTGCATCATAAAAATTCTTAATTCTTTGGTCGTCATTATAGAGAAAACAGTTCATATTTAAGTCTCCGACTATATAGTTTCCTTTTTTATCATTAATTCCTTTTTTAATAATTTGTTGTAAGAACATGCTCAGGTTTTCGCTCACGCCGTCAGGTGGCCGATAAAAACAGCTTAATAAAATGTTTTTAGTTTGATTGTTTGTAATTTCAATAGTTACAATTTTTTTATAACAGTCAGAAACGCTCAAGTCATTCCTAATTAGAAGAGCGTAGAAGATAATATAGCAGAAATTTTAAACCAGTCCTTTGAGTTCTGGAACATCAGAGAGCAGAGAATGATATTCAAAAATTTAATGGAAGAAAGCATTCCAAGAAGAATCTAAATTAGAATTTTAACTTAGAGTATAAATTATTAGTTTTATTACCTCTGTATTTTTTACCTGTAATTTTGGGCGATGAAAAGAATAAATAAATAAATAAAAAAATAAAACAATACTCAAAATTTTCGTGAACATAAATTAATACTCCACCGCCGCGCTAATTTGTTTTTCTCTTTTATTACGTCAAATGTAAACAAAACATTAAAAAAAAAAAAAAAAAGCGTTTACCCCCCCTGCCTTAACGTGAGGGCACTGATGTAGTAAAATTTTCAACTTTACTATCTTAAACTAAATTTTAATTTATCGATAGATTATAAATATCGTAGAAAAATATTGTAAATTACAAAAGTTGTGACCATGCAAATTTTATAACCCCCCAAAATGAGGTGGGTGTAAATTTTGCATGGTCATAACTTTTGTAATTTACAATATTTTTCTACGAAATGAAAAATCCGTCAATAAATTTAAATTTAGTTTAAGATAGTCAAGTTGAAAATTTTCCTACATCAGTGCCCTAACGTTTGGGCAAGGGGCAAGCGTTTTAGAGTTTTTTTGTTCCCAGGCCTCCGCCATTACAAATTTTTGTAAATCATCAATTTGTGAAAAAAGTCCTCCATATCAAGATTTTTCTTTAAAAAAAAAAGGTCCTCTAGAAAAAAAGTGGGGGTACGTGCCCCCGGGCCCCCCGTGTCGTCAGCCTCGAAAGAAATCGTTGCAAAAAAGTATTAAAACAAACAACGCAAAACAGACTTTAGTTTAGCCATAGTCATAAGAAAAAGTCTATTTCTTATGACTATAGTTTAGCGTAAATAAAAGAAATCGTTAAGAAAAGTAATTAAAACAAACAATAAACAACAAACTTTTTAGCGTTTTAGTTTAACATAAATAAAAAGAAGCGCTGTTGAATAATAAAAATACTTAAAAAAACTTTTTAAAAACAACATTTTACAAATGGGCTAAAAAGTAAAAAAAAAAACTATTTCACGGGATCCAAGAACTTTGTGCACGTAAACGACCTGAAATATCATTAAAGTCAATGACTGAAAATGTTGAGCAACTAAGTACAACTCGTTCCTATTGGCGCCCAACATTTTCAGTCATTAACTTTAATGATATTTCAGCTTGTGTACGTACCCTTGGGTCCCGTGAAATAGTTTATTTTTTACTTTTTAGTCCATTTAAAATTTTTTTTTTTTTTTTTTAAATTTATGTATTTTTTTATTTATATCAAAAATTTATATATTTTTTATTTATATCAAAAAGCACACTTGTTTTATTGGTTATACCAAAAAAAGTATATAATTTATGATAAATCGACAACATAATAAACATAAAGTTTATTCAAATTCGTTGCTTTACTTTACATTATTTATCATTAGTTGTTACATTTTTTACCGGTTTACTTTTAAAATTTTATAATTGGTAGAAATGTTTACCTTCTAATAGTAACTGATGATAAACAATATGAAATAAAGCAACATATTTAGATAGATTTTATGTTTATTATGTTATCAATTTTTTTTACATTATGTACTCCTGAAGAAATAAAAATCTGTCCTCTCTTAAAACCTGAATAAAATATTGGTTATTATAACCTGAACAAAATATTAGTTATTGTATTCATACAATAACCAATATTTTTATTTAGGTTAACAGCTATATATCAACAAACATGTGTTTTAAATGTATTGAACTTTAAACTTGAAATAAACTATAACATGAATTTGCATGCCTGCAATTTTTATTGTTTCTATCTTGTTATACTTAGTTCTTCATAAAGGTATCGTAAGTTAAGTGTTATTTATTTGGTAATCAATTTACTATTTCAAAACACACATGTGGACATCATATATATATATATATATATATATATATATATATATATATATATATATATATATATATATATATATATATATATATATAATATATATATATATATATATATATATATATATATATATATATATATATTCAAGTTTATTTATTTATTCCCAAGATATTAAAGATGCATTTCATTTTCAGTAGTTTTCGAATGAATATTTCAAGAATTGTATTATAAGGTTCTCACTGCTTTGCAACAATAACAATGGGAAATATTGGTACTTACAAAATACCACAGAAGTAAATAAGTGTCATGTTACACTAGTGGCTTGCGAGCGCTGGTCTCTTCAAAACCCGTGTCGTCGGCCCTGGTGCACATGACAATATCATCAGCATAAAGAAGATGGTGTATATATACATATATATATATATATATATATATATATATATATATATATATATATATATATATATATATATATATATATATATATATATATATATATATATATATATATATACACACACACACACACACATGTATATATATATATATATACATGTGTGTATCTACTTAACACTTAGTTTCAATGTAAAATTAAAGTGTTAAGTAGATACGAAATCTTTAAATTTTTTCGTATTATGGCGTATTTAAATTAAATTTAGAGAATTTATCAGCAACTATTATTTAAAAAATCACCGGCTGCGATTTACAAATTGAACAAAATCATTATCTGTTGGCATCGCAACGTTTAGATGCGCTTAAAAAAACAGCACGAAAACTAATTAACGGAGCTGGCTAATGGAGGATTTTTAACAAAGAGAATTATCAGAGAGCTTAATAAACAGAGACTAAATGGAAGGATTAAAATACCGTTTACTTTCCTCCGTTTTGTAACCGGCTGTATAGAGTTTTTTTTTCTTAACGGACACTCAAATTCTTTGTTAGTTTAACCATGGAAGTATAAAACAGATGGCAGTTCAACCGCATTGAAATGCTTCGGAACTATGCTTGTATCTTTTGTTTCGTAAACAATAAGAAAATGACATCAAGATCGCACTTAAACGCTTAATCATCATACGTTGATGCAATTAGGTACGTTAATAATAATTTAAAAATATTGTACTTTGTGACGGGTTCGCCAATAATATCCAAGTCGCCAATAATATTCAAGTATAAACATTAAAAAAGGCGCAACGAAACGGCAAACAACAACTTTTTTATAAATTTCATATTAAATGAATGAAGTATTGCAAGAATGTATGGAGTTGTGATATACAACTAATGAAACTTTAAGCTTTAAAAAATTAGAAAACATTTTTTTTATTTTTTTAAAATTGTTTTAGTTGTCTTTTTAACCAAATGTCGTCTTATGATTTAAAACAAGAAAAGAAGCTTAAACAAACATATGCTTTTAAAATAAAGTGGTTCTATTTAACTACCGAGTTTTAATTAAACCTTTCGTTGAATAATTACAATTACTAATGGTTATAGCTATGCAGCGTTTCCTTATAACAGGTATGGGCAACCATTTGACATGGTGTGGGCCAAACTATAGTGTGCAAATACGTTTCGCGGGCCGCGTTTAAAAGTACCTCATTTTAAAGTAGTAGGGGAAAGCATGGCGAACGGGGAAACATGGCGAACGTTTTGAAAGCCCTGAGTTATTGCAAATCTATCAGCCGTGAAGCAATAATACTTTCTCAGTATGTTTATGTTATCAAAATCCTTCATTGCCTGCATGAATTTTCAGTTTGCAAATATAACAATTTGAAATAAATATTAAAATAAAAAGTTCATCTGATCACGTGACCGGGGCAAGATGACTTAGTAAACTTATGCGTATAAAATTGCGTTGATAATATTTCAAAAAACCAATTGGTGTTTTAAAATACAAGATGCAAATACAGTTTCGTTTTCAACCAATTTTAAGATTTTTTGTTGGGTTGTTATATGAAAACCCATCTTGCCCCATTCGCCATGTTGCCCCGCTTTCCCCTACTTTAATGAAATAAGTCATAATTTTTAACGATATTTATCAGACATGAAATAATAAGACATTGCTATTGTAATACAATTTATTCAATTAACAAAATTAAATGAAAAAAATAGATTCAACATAATAATTAAATTAGCGATGCTGAAACGTTTGCTGCTGTTTTTTCTAATTCGCGGTAACTTTTTGTCTTTTCTTGTTTGACTAGTCAGTGAGTAAAGCTCAAACAGTAAATAAAGTAACTCTCAGTAACAACAGTAACAATAACGACAGTAATAATAGTTAACAACGGTAAATCTCTTTGAAAGTATAACAAACTTCATATCATAGAAAGCTAAACAAATTAACTTTTTAATTACATACGTATTTAACATGCTTCAATTAACAACAACAAATGCAAAGTGCTTAAAACTACTTTATTTATAAATAACAACCACATTAATTCCGACCTCGAGATGCACCAAAATTTTTAATTGGTTTTTTCAAAATGTCTCATGGGTCAGATCAAAACTCGCAGCATGCCGGATGTTTTCATCATCTGCCTTAGAATATTTCTTATTTTATTGTTTTAATAAAAATTATTTCTGTGATTTTGTTGTTTTTATCCATTGAAACTTGTTTTGTTGTTGTTGTTGTTGTTGTTGTTGTTGTTGTTGTTGTAGTTGTTGTTGTTGTTGTTGTTGTTGTTGTTGTTGTTGTTGTTGTTGTTGTTGTTGTTGTTGTTGTTGTTGTTGTTGTTATTATTGTAGTTGTTGGTTACAAGCATACTCCCGAGACAAATTGAAATTGCTCTGATGTTTGGGGCTTGATGAACTTCTATCTGTTTTATACTTTCATGATTTAACGGATAGATGTGAATACGGCAGCAGTACGCTTTTTAACGTTTTGTCAGCTCGGAGTACAAGTGTCGTATAAATAATGTTATAATTTTTTAATTATTATTGTCATTATTATTTGGTGTCACTCCTTTGATCAGGCTTCTGTTTGAGTGACACCTTCCTTTTCAAATAATTATTTATATTTATTCTTATTAGTTATATTTTATTTTAATTATAATGTTTGTATCATTATAGATAATATCATTATTATTATATGATTATATGTAAATTTTGAAAAGGAAAATAAATATCGTATATAATTTTAATAGATTATTGACATGACACTTGTATTCGCCGTCAGTAGCATGCGATCCGTTTAATTAATTTTGCGGATCGATACACTCATTCCAAACCTTTTTTTATTGAAATGAAAATTCTTAATATTTACGAGCTTGATGTGTTTAATGTTTTATGCTTTATGTATTTGCGGAAAAATGACTTATCCCTACCTATCTTTAAAGTTCTCTTTTATGAAAAACCAATAAATAAATACACTCTTAGAAATAATAAATTTTTGCATAAACCTTTTCGTCGAACAAAGTTTAACCAGTACACGGCAGTTTCAAATTGATACTTATTGGAACTTTATTCTGAGCATGCGTAGTGAACAGTTGCAAAACATCAGAAATTCGATGATTTTTTGTATAATTATTTTCTTAAGCTCAGCTACTCTAACTTGAATTTTTTTATGTTTAATATTTCAAACTTTTTGTAAAACGTAGCGATTTGCTTTAGAGTTGGCAGATACATCTTTATATTATAAATTTTGTTGTTGAAATTATGTTTTTTAACGAAAACTTTTAAATCAAAAGGTGATATTTTTTTCTTGAAATGTTCTGTTTTTTAATCAGCTATATTACAATAAAACGAATTTTCTGTAGCTGAAACTAAGTTGTTTTGTTTTCTTCATTTTATTGATCTCTTTTTAAAGTTGATTCTAGAGACCGGTAATTTTTTTTAAAGGCACATTTTTTATTTATCTGACGTAACTGCTTTATTTAGAAATCTTTTAAACATGGACCATGCAACCAAATTAAATCTAATTTGTAGAATATGCAGAGAAGATATAATAAAAGATCCAGTTGATTTAAATAAATATTCCGAAAGAATCGAAAATTCCTATTATATAAACACCAGCATTGATAATAAGAAAATTCACCCACAAAAGATGTGTAATAGATGCTATACCAATTTAAGGAACATTGAAAAAGGTTCAAGTTCTAGTATTAAACCAGTTGATTGGCCTTTACCATGTGCAGGCAATTGTTCTTGTTTCCCCAAAGTTGTTGGAAGAAAAGTTAAAAAATGTAAACCTGGTCGACCATGTGTCATGGAACAAAATCAGAAGAGATGGACTAGGCCAATTATAAATAACTTAATTAGTACTACACCAAAACCAACATTGCGTTTAAATGTAATTGATATTGATCCTGTATCAAATCCCCACTTAAACTTGTGCATATGCAAGTTATGCAACAATATTATGTATAAGCCACTAATATTAAAAGAGTGTCAACACTCATTTTGCTCAGTGTGTTTATTCAAAGAGATTGAAGGAAAGTTGGAAACAGAAGCTAAATGCTTTATTTGTGGACAAACTATTTCTTTAAATTCAGTTTTGAATTCTGTTAATTTAACACAAATGATAGAGCACATTCTTTTAGGTTGCAATAAGAAATGCAAATTAAATTATGCAGTTAAAGACAATGAGCTTAAAAAACTACATGAAGAAAATTGTATGGGTGAAAAATTATTGCAGACTTTTTGCAAAAAAACTCCAAGTGGACTTGATACAACTCTTTCTGATATATTTTTATTAAAAGGAAATGATGTTATTCCACGGATTGTAGAAGATGCTGCATTGCATGTTATAAAGCAAAAGCAAATTAACTCTGAATCAAACTTTTTTTCTTTTCCTTCTGGAGGACCAAGGGTAAACACATTTTAAATGTATATAAAACTTTGTTGTAGTTTTTGTTGTAATTGTTAAAATGTAATTTAATTTCAATCCTTTCTAGCCTTTGCAATTTACTTCCAACTCAATGGCATATAAAGACAGCTCAGATGTTAGTAAGAGGACAATTAGGAAAAGACATTTAGCTGTTATAAACTCTTTAAATGTGGTTCCTGGTTTGGCCAGCACCTCACAACTTCAACAAACCTCTGCTATTTTAAATTCATTTGGAGAAAAAGATCAAATTAAAATATTGAAAATGTCGAACATTCCTTCATCAGTAATAAGTGCAGAAGAAATGGTAAGTATGAAAGCTCATATGGGAATCACCTATTCAAACATGAAGATAATTGCAAGGTAAAACATTTTAAATTGAACCACATGAAACAAAAATGAAAGTGCAAATAAATAAAAAAGTTTTTGAATTCAAAATGTTCAAAATTTTATTTTAGATGGCTCAAAACAAATAATATTAAATGTGCATCAAACAAAAAGCAACGCAAAGTAGCTAAATCTTGGTCTGGAGAAGATTGGGTAGTTTGTAATGCGCCATTTAACTTTCCTTTAAAGGATTCTATTGATTCATTTGAAATAAAAAATGCTCCTTGGGGATACATTAAAGATTTTCCATCTCATATAATAAACAAACTGAACCTGCTAAAAAAGTAAATATTATACTATGTATACACATATATATATATATATATATATATATATATATATATATATATATATATATATATATATATATATATATATATATATATATATATATATATATATATATATATATATATATATATATATATATATATATATATATATATATATATATATATATATATATATATATATATATATATATATATATATATATATATATATATATATATATATATATTAGCCCTCAGAATTAGGCCAGCCTAAAAGTATCTGAGGTTGGTAATTTTGGACGAGCTTGATTTTGTCTTCTATAGTGAAGCCTTTGTGAAAAAAGGCTTTAGGTCAAAACTAGGTGTTGAACTGATGCTGACCTAAAGGTCGGCAATTTATAGACGACTTTAGTTTTCCTAATAATGAGGGTTGATATATATTTCTATATACCTTTCCTAATATTGCATGGCTTTTGTGACATATTTTTTAGCCTAAAACCTGCTGTCATACACACACACACACACACACACACACACCACACACACACACACACACACACACACACACACACACACACACACACACACACACACACACACATATATATATATATATATATATATATATATATATATATATATATATATATATATATATATATATATATATATATATATATATATATATATATATATATATATATGTTACCATTATTAATGTTGTTGTTTAATAAAATTAAGTTATTTACTTTTTAAAATAAATTTGAATTATTTTAAAATTAAATAGCAAAAATTTGCTACAGCATTCCAATATAAAAAATGATGAAATTCACATTAAAATTGGTGGTGATTATGGTGGTGGATCCTTTAAGATGTGTTATCAAATCGTGAATGTTGATAAGCCGAATGCCAAGAGAAACACAAGTGTTTTTAGTATTTTTGAAGCGAAAGAGTACAAACCCAACCTTGTTGTGGGTCTCTCAAGGTTTACACCACAAATTAATCAATTGCAGTCACTGTGTTGGAAGTAATTTTTATTTTGTCATATTGTTATTATATAATAATAAATAACAGAAAACTCTATTTTGAAAAAAAAAATTTTTAGTGAGAAAAAAATAAGAGTATTTATCTTTGTCGATTACGAATTTTTATGTTCAGCATATGGAATCACTGGTGCAAATGGTATAAAACAAAATTATAAAGTTTTGCAAAACAACATTTTTTAAGTTGTATTTTTTATATTTTTAAATTGTATAATTTTATATTCAGTTTTTTTTATTACTTTTTAAATTGTATATTTAAAATGATATTATTACATTAGGTCGACATGCTTGCTTGTTTTGTCATATAACTCGTGAAGAGATGAAAATGAATCCTTCTCAACAAAAGCACAGTTGCTCCAAGCGTACTCTGGAAACACTTCATGCAGATTTCCAAAATTTTATTCAAAAAGGTCGAATACCAAAATTAGCAAAGACTTGTAACAATGTCATTGATTTGCCACTTTTCAATATTCCATTAACACAAGTATTAAACTTTTCTAATATATTAGATTTTTACTTATTTATATCATTTTTAATATTTTTTTTATTGATTTAACGAATTTAGGTAAGCATTCCATCATTACATATCTCATTGGGAATTTATCTTAAATTTTTTAATATGCTTGAAGATGGCTGTCATCTCTTAGATGTAAAAATTGCAGCAAAAATGTGTATGACAAATCAAACTGTAAACAACAGAAATTTTGATGAGTATATTGCACTTCAATTAAAAATATATGAAGGAGAAAAAGTTATTAATGAATATTGTGAAAAAATAACTCTAATTCATGAAGCAATGGCAATACATGTTCTACGTTCTCCTGAAAATAAAGAAATTATTTGTGAAATATTTCAGCCCAGAGTAGCCCATTATATGGAGAAGAAAAATGCTAAGGTATAATGAGTTAATATTCAAAAAAAATGAAATAAAATTTATTATACTTCTTTTTATGAAGCATTAATCAATTTAAGAGCTTCTGTCTGTGTGTGTTTTGTATATAATTTTTATATATAGCTGATTGAATTAGAAGAGTTAAGATCTAAAACATTTGAAAAATCACATGGACCACTTGTGAAAAAACTTGATGAAGTTCTATGCGGTCTTCATGTTCAAAGACAAGCTTATCATGGAAAATGTTTTATTGGGAATCATGTTCATAAAATGTTGAAGGTTTTTCTATACTTATATTTGCATATTTTTCTCAAAAATATCTTCTCAAATACATAAGTTCATAAATACATAGAGGTTATTAAACATTAATTTTGTAAATGTGTTCTAAAATTTATTCTTTATTCATTAGCTAAACAGTATTCTAGATCTTTGTAATTCAATACCTAAAATAGTAAGTGATCTTGGATTTATTGGTACAGATGTTCATAACGAGGCGAAGGTCTTGAGTAAGAAATTTGTTACTTTGTTCTCCAAATACTCGACATGCTACAACTTTATGAATTCAAGTGAAATAATTAACAAGAATCCAATATCAGAATTAGGTGAGATTATATTTTTTAAATTATTTTTTATTATGAAAGTTACTCGCATTGAAATTATTTTTGCAATGGTGTTCATAATTATTTCTTTGTTTTTTAATTTTTTATAGAAAGAGCCATTGATAAATTAATGAGTTACTTTCGTAAAACATGGCCCAATGAGTCCATTACTCCAAAAATGCATTTGTTAGAAAGTCATTGTGTTGATTTTATTAGAAATTGGAATTCGGGTCTTGATATTTATGGAGAGCAAGGTTTAGAAAGCATGCATGCCGAATTCAACAGTATGAACAGCACATTTTGTCATATGAAAGGAAAGCAAAGACTGAGAAGTATTTTGTCCAATCACTATATCAAAAACTCTCCAGAAGCTTTAATAATTAGACCAACTATTAAAAAAAGAAAGCCTTATAAAAGAAAAGCTTGAAACGTGAAACTTTATAGATGAATTTTAAAATCAAAAAATGTATATTATATAACGATTTAATTTTTAAGTGTGTGTGTGTGTGTGTGTGTGTGTTTTCCAATACAATAATTCCTAACGTTTTCTTTAACATCTGGTAATTTCATTTAGTAAAATGGAAATTTTATTAAAAAAGCGGATATTTTTTCAGCGATAATAGTTCATAAATTACAAAGAAAAAAAAATTACCGGTTTCTCAAAATTGGACATATTCTTTATATACCTAAACTTTAACTCTTAAACATTTCAGGTTTTCACGAAAAATTTATTAAAGTACTTATTTATCAAGAATAATTAGACTTCCATAAAGTTTGTAACTAAAAAAATTGCAATGTTCTTGAACTTATAAAAAGTGAGTAAACACTTTTTTTTATATGTATGTATCTTTTAAAACTAGTTCAACTAATAATTTATTAAAATAAAAAAAAATCTAAAAACTTATTTTTATTAAAAGGTATAATAAATTTAGTTATTAAATCTGTGCTTTTTAATTTTTTTTTTGCGTTTTGCTCGCTTTATTGAAAACTTAAAGATAAAAATATTTGTTAATGCGCATGCCCAGAATAAAGTTCCATTACGAAACTGCCGTGAGTATGGTATTGCTTATTGTGCGCCATATCTTTGGAATAAAGTTGTTTTGCCAAATTTTGATATTTTTACACTTTTCCAATTTTCAAACATAAACTCAAAAATTTAATTTTATTTTCCGATGACATAACAAGGTTCTTCTAATTGTAATTATGTACCTTTATTTAGAACTTTTTTAATTGTAAAATACGTTTTATGTTAATTGTAAAAAACGTTTTATGTAACGGCTCTTTTTGTTTTACTTTTCTGTTTATTTTATATATAGATTATATACATTGTAAATAATTCTGCTAAATGCTTGTAAAAAGGTTCTGATGATAAGATCAGTACGATCTTCTTTCAGAAACCTTGTTTGTATTTGTTAAAGTACTGTATTACGACAAATGTAAACTTAAAATGTAAAAAAAAAAAAAAAAAAAAAAAAAAAAAAAATTCTGAGCTGTAGGTTTGTTTTTATTTTAACATACGCGCAATAGCCTCTCTTTCAAAATCAAGGATTCAAAATATCCATCCGGTTGCGCAACGCAAAGAGAACGCTACGGTTTTCTGCTATATTTTTACGCACGCGTTTCGGCCTTTTTATAATCAAAACAAATCTAAAATAATAAAAATCTATAAATATTGTTTAACTTTTAAAAGACATCTTTAGAAAGTTTAATATATAATTAAATAAAAACTTCTTATAAATGTAACTCTTTATTTTTTTGAATTAATTTTAGAGTATAAATACCCTTGTTATCAATTATAATGTATATATATATATATATATATATATATATATATATATATATATATATATATATATATATATATATATATATATATATATATATGTATATATATATATATATATATAAATATATATATATATATATATATATATATATATATATATATATATATATATATATATATATATATATATATATATATATGTATGTATACATTTTACTTGATAACGAGGGTATCTATACTCCCTTTAAATATTGTATAAAAATTAATTCACAAAATAAAGAGTTACATTCATAATAGGAGTTTTTATTTAATTAAATAAAATATTGTTTGGATTCGGAACTATTGTTTTTTTTTCAAAATTTTTATTTTGTAGAAATACAAGAATGATTCAACTGCACAAATATATTCCATTAAATCTTCATTTAAAAATGGTAACAATAAAAAAAGTGTCTAATAAATGTTCATCTATTAAAGCTGTAATTTTTGACATGGGTGGTGTAATAGTTCCTTCACCTTTGCCTTTGTTTAAAAAATTTGCAAAGAAACATAATTTGTCTGAAGATCAAATGAATACACTATTTTTTGATGGTGGTGATTCAAGCTTGTTAGGTCAGTTGGAAAAGGGATATATTAATTTGCAGGAATATTCATCAGTTCTCTCTGATAAAGCTAAAAAAGTTATCGGAATTCCATTAGAGGATGAAATTTTCTCAGTTTGGGCAAAATCAAACGAATACCTTAAACCTTTCCCAAATGTTATATCTGCTATCAAAGAAATAAGATCAGTTGGAATAAAAACTGCGTTGCTGACAAATAATGCGTTCATCGAGGGTAATAGAACTGTAATGCCTCTTGATAGAAATCTATTTGATGTGGTATGTTTTTTTAAGTTCCTACAAATCAATTTTTGGATGGCGTTTCTTGTTATAAAGATATTTGGGTTCAAATTTTTAGCATTTGGGGTAAAATCTCTTATACCATTAACAAAAAAATTGTTCAAAAATATGTCAATCTCAAAAAAAGTGCGTTTTCATAGATTTTAGAAAAAATTAGTATTTTTACTTCAAATTTATTGAAATAAAAAATTGTGAAAAATGCCTCTGATTCTTAAAACAATTATGACAAAATGTTTCTCAGCAATAATACAAAGTGTTTCTCAGCAACAATAAAAAATGTTTCTCAGCAATAATATAAAAAGTAATTATAAGTAAATGTATTTTTTTTAGAAGCAAATATTATTTTAACATCTCAATGAAAATGTGCTTCTTTTGAGGCCCAGGTTGACATACTTTAAAATAATTTTTTTTTGACATTATCAGAGATTTTACCCAAAATGCTAGAGATTTGAACCCAAATATATTTACAACTTGACGTGATGGCAGATAATGAGTTGCATATTTAAAGTCAAAATGTGAAATACAAAAAATGTATTGCTTGTATTTTTATAAAAAAAAATTTATGTTGGGCTGTACTATTGATTCTTTAGATTGTAGAGTCATGCGTTGAAGGATTGCGTAAACCAAATGTTAACATTTATAAACTAACCTTAGACAGATTATCTGTAGAACCTTCAGAAGCTGTTTTTTTAGATGACCTTGGTGAAAACCTTAAAAGTGCTCGTTCTCTTGGAATAAATACAATAAAGGTTTATACAGTTAATTATTTTTTATTAAGTATGTATACTATTTATTTAAATTAATGTATAATATATAAATAACAGTTATAGTTCTTCTGTCCGCATAGGTTTCAGATCAACATTCTGCTTTAAATGAACTTCAAAAAGTTTTGAATATGACATTTGTACACGCTATCCCTGGAACAACTGATGTTAAAGAGCCTCATCAGTTGCCAGTTGAATTGTTAAAAGATTTTATAGTAAGTTTCAAAATTAATAAGAAATAAAATATGATTAAATTCATTTTTTATAAAATTATTTATTTCAAAAATTGTCTATTATTTAATTTGGGATATATCGTTTTTTTTATTTTTGTTTTAAATTTTATTTTTTCTTTAAAATTTTTTTTATAATTTCTGTACAAATTATTTTTTTTAGCTGTTGTATAACTTTAATTTATAATTTATTTTTTGTATAATTTGGTATAACTTTTTTAATCATTTTTTTAAATTTGTTTAATTTATGTTTTTTAACTAAATGATTGTATATTTTTATATTATTTGTATATTTATAAGATACAAATAATATAAAACTGATCAAGATAATTTTTTAACTTTATTTATAGATTTCTAAATTGCATTTAAAAGATAATGGACAACCATTGTTACTAAGAAAGTTTAAACATGGTCAGTCTAATCCTACATACTATATTCAGTGTGGAGGCGAAGAAATTGTTTTAAGAAAAAAGCCAGTGAGTTTATTTTTATTAATATTAATATGATTATTTCTATATGTACTATTTAAGTTATTAAACATATTTTGTTTACTGTCGTTAACAAAAATTTTACTTACAAATAATAGATTATTGTTAAATGATTTGTTTAACATTAAGTTAAGTATTTTTTGTAAACCTATAAATATTGCTCATTAAACTATGTATTTTCAAGAAAACCTAAAAACGTCACTTGCTAAATTTTATGAAAATCAGAAAAAAATTGCAATGTAACCAATTTCAGCATACACTATATACAATTTTTTTAATGTTTTGTGACTTTCTTGTAAAGTTAAGATAGAATTAGGTATAGAACAGAAAGCATAAAACTTGTACAGCTAGGTTGACTTATAGACAAAAACAAAATGAGTTGCATGCATGAAAAATAAAAAGCGCAGTAAAAAAAAAATATTCTGAATTAAAAAAATAAAAAATATTTTAGTCTATTAAGTTGTGTTTTTGTACTATTTTTAACTAGACTTATATTCATCAATGAATTTTAAATTTCATAGAAAATATTTTAGCTTTCAAAAATTATGACCATATAAAATTTAAACCCACCTCAATTTGAGGGGTTGCAAATTTTATATGGTCATAATTTTTGAATGCTGAGAAATTATACTATGAAACTTAAAATTTCTCAATGAGTATAAGTCTAGTTAAAAATAATACAAAAAATGTTTCATCAACTTGTTGCTCTCACGTTTTAGTCAGAGAAGGATGAAAATTTTAGCGCTTTTTTATTCTCAGGCTCCAATCATCGCAATTTTTTGCAAAGCTTCCAGATCTACTCTGTCTATTAAGTCTTCAAGATGGATATTTTACCAGGAGCTTCTGGGCTTAAATCTTTGTTGTTTGGTAAAGGGAATGCAAGTAGCTAATCTATGTTAATTTTGGTAGACCTGTCAAGATCAGAATCAGCCAACACTAAAATAACACACTTTTTAGAGAATAATTGTGAAGAAAACTGTGACAGAAAAGCTCACATTGTATGTACTTGTAAAAAAGAAATATTCCTTTTCTTGAGTTGAACTTTGTTAGATATCAACGAGAAAAAGTTGGAACCAAAGCTATCCTTCACATAGCTGGCATTGCAGTGAAGAACCCAGAGTTTATTTGGGGATACCGTTTTTTTTTTTAGCAACGTTTAGGGGAGGGAGAGGAGGGATTATGTTTTTAATTTCCCCCTCCCCTTCATTCTCCCCTAGTTAAAGGGGTGCGAAAACAATAATTTTAAATCATCGTTTTTTTAATAATCATTTATGTTTATCTTGTTCAGTTTTATCCTATAATAAGGTGTTGATTTAAAGGCATTTTTTTGAATACATGAAATTACTAGTGGACGATGCTACTTTAGCTCAAAGAAAACTATTTCACTTGAGATTTTAATTAACGCTTTTATTGCATATACCACGCTACCAGTAAATAATTATTGAAAATTGTTGAATTAACGCTTTTGTTGCATATACCACGCTATCAGTAAATAATTATTGAAAATTGTTTAAAGTAGTTTAAACAGTTTTTAACTACACTTTAGTAAGTTTAATTTAAAATAATAATTAAAAATATTTTAAACAATTTTTAATCAATATTTACATTACATAATATATTTACATATATTATATTGCGTAATATTTGTAAAATTAACAAAATACATCTTACATCTTGTATTTGAATTAAAAACATAAGCATTTAATAAACAAATTCGATAAGCATTTAATAAACGTATTTAATAAACTATTCGAATAAAAACATAAGCATTTAATAAACTTATTTTCTATTATTTTAAACTTAAAATTTTGATTTAAATATTAGTAAATCTGTTCATTTAACTTTTACTAAAGGTTATAATTTTTAAAGTGATTTTAAGGAGCCTTTTAAATTAAAAATAATTAAAGAGATAATTACAGTAAACATAATTTTACTTAATATCCTTAAACTTGAAAAAGATTTAAAAAAAAATTGAATCGATACAACGTAAAGCAACACAAGTAAAATGTCTTCAAGGGAAAAACTATGAAAGTAGACTAACCTACTTTAAATTAAGGACTCTTGAAAAAAGACGAAATGTAATGACCTAATCCAAATTTACAAAATATTAAAAAAAATAGATAATTTAACATTGGAATGCCCACCAGATTTAATAGCTTCAAATACGAGAGGTCACAATATGAGGTTTCATAGACAGTTAACTAAAAATCCAAAGAGGTATTATTTCTTAACGAACCATGTTATTAACAGCTGGAATAACTTAGATCAAAATATTGTAGATTCTAAAACACTTAGAAAATTTAAGTCAAAGTTGGACTTATTTTTAACATAAATCGGCTGTTAATGTTTATTGTACATATACACAGTTATTAAATAAATAAATAAATGATTTTAAAAATATTTTATTATTTTGATCATATTCATAAAAGTATAGTCTAGAAACGCAGGCTGTTTTTGATTGTTTTCATTGTTTAAGTTGAAAATCGGGTGGTCTTTGTAAATAAGGTGCAAAACAAACTTTTATGATGGCTGAAAGTTCAAAAGATTTGAATAATTTTTAGACTATTTTTGAGTTGCATCAAGAGGAGTGTGATTCTATTTTTGAAGTTATTGACCAGGATTTGTTAAATGACGTTGCTGAAGAACAACATGCCTTAAATATTCCACAAATAATACTTTCCTGTCAATTTTGTAACAAGAAATGTTTGAGCTCTAGAGGTCTCACTCGTCACGTAAATAGTAAACATTCCGATGTTTTATCAAGTCATTCTAACCTTTCATCAGATATTAGAAAAACTAAAATATCAGAAGAAATTCTTGATCTTGAAGACTTTCAGATATATTTAGAAAGAAGTGTTGCAAAGCTTTCATCAGATAATTGTTTTGAGTCCATACAAAATCATTTTAAAGCTTATGTGATTAATTTTGATATAGCTAACACAGCATACCAGATTATAAAACCGATTTTATCTTTATTTCAAGGAAATGTTGAAAATTTTTATCCAGATTTTTACAAATGTATCTTTGACAAAATTGATTCAATTTTTATAGGATTAAATACACAGTGTTCCACCTTACTTGGATTTGAAGTGTGTAATCATATATTGTCGCATCTTTCTGGTCAATCAGTTCAGATTGATACAATTTCATCTGGGAAGGGTTTTGAACTTTCAGATAGGGATCGATCTGTTATTGCCTATTTATGTGGGTATGTTTTTAGCACATTATATCGTCGCATCAGGTTTTCAGATATTTATAAGGAAGAATACTATCAACAGTATATATCTATTTTACTTGCTGCTAAATATCAGGGAAGTGATGATTTGCCTGAGCACAAACTTGTTAACACGCGTAACAGATCAAGCTTGTGGAAAATGAAAATTGAGGCAATTTGTGTTTTTGTTACCGCTGAAACAACCTTTAAAAAAATGGTTAGTCTATCAATAAAATTGACAGCAAAGATATTCTATCCTTACTTCTTAAAGATACAAATGTTTTATCTAATTTTTCAAGAATTAGAAGTGAAACTGATACTTTTGTTAATAAAGAAGTTTTTTTTAATGTTCTTGAAGACATCTTGAATTTGTATGTGAAAGCAAGGACATTTTCCTATGTCAAGGATAATCTACAGGCTTACAAAATTAAAGTTCAACAACTCAAGTCTAAGTCCCTGCGAACTTCACTAAAAAAGAAGAGTACTTATTAATATGTATATTAATAAGTATGTATATAATCAGCAATATGTAAATTTCACATTTGACAATTGAAAACAATTATCTGATATTATCTCAATTTTTAAAACAGCTATTTTCATAGCTACAAATGGCTAAAAACATTTTTGTGGTATCAGAATATATATATATATATATATATATATATATATATATATATATATATATATATATATATATATATATATATATATATATATATATATTACTAGTTTTTTATTAAATTGTTTTCTTTTCATTAGAAAAAAGTTTTCTACAATCAATCCAATTAGTCAAATAAGGATTTTACTTTGCAGAAAATTTTAATAAATGGGAGTTGAAATCAAAATATAACTATATAAAATTTACAGAGATTTTATTTTGTGGGGATTGGAAACTTTACATAGTTGATAGTTTTTAGATAACATTTAGGGCCAAGGTGGTTTTTATTACAATATGGCATGTTTTTTCAGAAACTTTCCTATTTATTTTGAGCTTATTAAGTTTGCTAATTAAATTTTTTTATTTAATAAAATTAAGTTAAAAAATCAGTGTTTATTATAATTTACTTGTTATCAACAAGAAAATCATATCTCACAACTAAAAAAACTGTTTAGAGTAAACTAACCTTAAAATAAATATAAATGCACTAATGAAAATTTGCACCCACCCATTTATTAAGTCCTCTCCCCAGTTAGAAATTTTTAAACAGGATCATTTATTTTGCACAAGATCAATATATATTTTTTGAGAGTATATGAAATAAGCAACTATAAGGGAGGGTCAAGGTTTAAAATTATGCTGATCAATCATGTTTTGAAGTCAGAATGTTTTTTCACAAATTTTAGGTTTTGTTTGCTGCTTTTTTTTTAATTTTTTTATTTAAAAAGCTAAATCTTTATGAATTATAATAGATTGTAAACAATTTTACATGAGTATTGAACTTTAGTTCGAGAATCTTATGTAACACATAAGCATTAAAATATTTTTCATTATTTTTTGAGCTCCTTTTCTCTTGTAATCAAGTTTAATCATTCAGTAGACTCACTCTAACTTCATTTGTTTATATTATGTCAAAAAAGGATGCTTTGCAAAAAATTGCGATGATAGGAGCCTGAGAACAAAAATGACCCAAAATTTTTCAGCCCCCTGCTTCAATCATTAGAGCAACAAGTTGGTAAAGTATTTTTGTACATTTCTTAACTAGGTTTATATTCATTGATAAACTTTAAATGTCATTGTGAAATATTTTAGAGTTCAAAAATTAAGAGCTTACAA